TGGTGTATGATGAGTGGTGTATGATGAGTGGTGTATGATGAGTGGTGGTTGAACAGCTGTTGAATGTCCGTAACATGGAAGTTTTGCACACTAAACTTCCTTTGACTATATTTACCCTGAATCCTCGATAAATAAGTCAAACACGCAGAGTCTGGCAATAGTTCAATCGTCGGTCTTTCTGCTATGAATTTCGTGGCCAGGGTCTCCATGTGAATGCTGTGTTTCTCGATTTGTTGGGGAGAGGGAATGCTGTGCAATATTGTGCACCATCACCACCACCACCTGGACCACCACCGCCGCCGCCGCCAGCACAAGCATCACCATCATCACCACCGTCTTCACCACCGTCTTCACCACCAGCACCACCATCACCATCATGAGAACCATCACCACCGCTAGTCTCTCTAGCCCTTCTACACCTCTAGATCCTACACTCTAGACCTTTTGACATACTGCCTCTAGACCCTAGACTCTAGACCCTAGACCTTTTGACATACTGTTTGGGGTCTCTTGCCAGGATAACTTTGGGGAAGGGTGCCATCAAACCTCTGAAACCGAAAAAACGCATCACCCCACCCTTGAGCCCTGCACTTGGACCAGGTTGACCCGACAGATCCAGCGCTCGGCTCCCCGGCAGATCCTGCGCTCGCTCCGCTACGTGCAAGGCCTCTCCGGCTCCCACGGAGACGCGCGTGATATGTCGTGCGCAAACCGAAAACGCGCTGTCCGTCCCCTCCAGCGATGTTACCGGGACTGGTTGGAAGTGAAGGAGGGGGTGCATGTTTGTCTAGTCTCCCAGGCTTGGGCAGGTCCTTCTTCGCCGAGTGGGATCTGTCTCCCCTTGGTTGGATTGGAGGAGCTTAATGCGCTTTACGTCTGTGCTATAGATCACCCCTGCACCTCTTCCCGGACTTGTTTACTATATCCATTGTTCTCAGCACTTACACTCGGGTTGTGGGGCAAAGCCTTTTACCAGCTCATCGGCCCAAGGCTGGGCAGTTCTCTTACAATTTGGGAAGCTGAAGGAGACCCCGAATGCCAAGCCTACCGCTCGGAGACTTTGTGGATCAAAGCGCTTGCTCACCTGACCGACTCACCGATAAAAACCACCCCTTTGTTCAATGTGGATCTCTGCCGTAACTATTAAAATTTGATTTTGGGTCCGTCTCTGGCAGGACCCGGGAAGTAGGCGAAATGCATATGTCAATGTGACTTTCCTTGACTTGCAGTCACACAAGATGACTGTCAAAATGTTTTTAGCAAGTCATAAAGGCCCTTCCTTGACTGTACTAAGGCGATGTGTCGTCTTTGAGGTGGCAGGTTACCTTGGCCTTCGTTGATCATGAACCTATGCTGGGTTTCCAACCGCCCATCTTGACACTTCCGGTCATGGCAGTTGCGGAAGCACACCACATGAGGCTTGATATTTTTTATTTTTAACTCCTGGTCTTTGGACTATGGACCAAGACAATTTGCCTCAAAAGGTTTGGAGTGGCTCGCAACCCATGTGGTTTTGTGGGTTTCTTGCTAAGTTTTTTCTGCGGTACTGTGTTTCACAAATCCATCAACCACACAGTCCGGACCCACATACTCCTGGTGAACCACTTACAAACATCCACATACACGACACTGTGTATATGGTATAGCGGTGTAGTATTATATACCTTCAGTCTTGGTATTTGGAGATGGGAAAGGTTTCTTCAGGTCAAACCAAGCTACTGACTGAGGGCTCAAAAATTGTCAAAATTTTCAGTTTCCCCAGCGTGATGACAGGGACGGGTTCTGCCGACTCATCCAATACCACACACAACCAACCATTCCATGCCAGGTCAACCACCCAAGTGATCAGTCTCTATGCCAGTCTGATTGAGTGTCTGGGTGGGCGACAATTCCATGTGTGGCAAGCAGCAATGCGCATATAACGACATGAGAAAGTGTGGCCCAGGAGATTGAACATCACGTAGTTTGGATCCCAGAACCCACGCGCAAAAAATATAATGTAGAAATGGTCAAATGCAAGCTCGTTTACCCCCCAAAAGGTCACATCGGGAAACCACATGTGGTCGCTTAAAAAATTGGTGGGTATGTTTGCCATAGGTTAGGCCGAACCCAAGCCACTTGGTCGCCTTCTCATACTCTGCAGCTGTCTGACGTGCTCGTGCCACCTGCGCGGCACGGAGCCTCTCACACCAGCTGAGGAACATCAACCCCACAAGGGCAAACGAGAAGACCACAAGAAGGACCCAAGTGCGATAGAATCCCCGAAACAAACAAAATCATCAAAATAAAAAATAACTGACCATGTGGTTTTGGAGGATAGGATGCCCATGCACCGCGTCAAATTCATTCAGTTGGTTGGCGACGGATGGGATCAAACATTTATATATACATACATACATATATATATATATGCATTTACAAAAAACACAACCTCATGTTTTTCTCCCATACTCCTCAACGAATTGCACTCCCCAACGAGGAATAGTCGCCGCACGCGGTCGGCCGCGCCGCAAACCACTAACGGGTTTCTCAATTTGAAGGTCAAGAGCCCTCGAATCGCCTTTGACGACATGCCACCCTACGATTTCTTACCACATCCTACTACAGTACCAAAGAAAACTTCTGAGCGTTTTACCTACCCATTCCGTGAACCAAGTTTCTGGTTTCGAAGCACACATTGCTATTACTCCGAGCGCTATGCTCTGCATCGTCTGCGAAGCCAACCAGTAAGATCCACGCCCAACATGCCACCGCTTTGCCTTCTCATCAGCACATAGCTTCCAAAGGTCTAAGAGAACAAAGCCAGCCATTGCATGTTCACATCTTCTGCTAAGGGTCAGTGCTCCATGCATGCTTGGTGATATGCATAGAACAATACGCAGGTTAAGCAAAAGAAGACCTTTGAGAGCAAAAGGTGTACGCAGCTGGTTGACTGATGGGATCTTCCACGCTTCGGATGAGGAAGTATGGGTTCATGAGAACTGCTTGGGCTTTGTCAGACATTGGCCCCATTCGGCTGTACACAGCCGGCGGCATTCCGTACTCCTTGGTGATCGTACTGTCCATGAAGAAGCGGCCACAGTACATTGTCCGCAAAGGAGAATTCAACTGGCCACCGCTGTTCTCGCTGCAACGCAGCGGGCCGGACATTGCGTACGCAGAGTCCTCATTGCGCATGCAAAGTTGCAAAGGCAGCCTGGGAAGTTGATGTCCTTCACGCAATGGGAACAGACCATGGTCTCTAGAGAATGGCTGGGTGAAGCAAACTAACCTGGAACTGGCATTTCCGAGATATCCATATAGATGCTGTCCTTGAATACTGTATTTTGGGTCTCTAGAAAATGGCTGGTCTGGGTCCCTTGAGCCGATCAGTCATTATCTAGAAAGCTGGACATGCTAGACACTGCAGAACCTGTCCTGGCAACCTTTGCGCCGAAGTGCTGAAAACCAAGGGATCTCACGGACTTCTTCTTTGCTACAAGTCAGCCCATCGCCCATGATTAGCCATCTCCAGCCACTTTCAAGCCATCGAGATTCTCAGGCCAAGGTGCGCCCAAGTGTGAAATGATACGTGCAAGCCGCTGCCTCCAAGCCCCTGGTCTCGCACGACACCGCCCGGCGCAAGGGCAACACAGCCCACTTGCTAGCTGCAGATTTCCCTGCGTCCAACCTCCGCGTGAAGTCCTCTCTGTTTCCTTTCAGGAAGCTCTGCCTGTTTCCATTCCTTCTGTATCTGCATCTGCTTGCTGGACTCCGGCCCCATGCGCTTCCCTTGTTTAAAGTGCTTCTTGACAATCCTGTATGTCGACTTTATCTGGCTGCACGTTCGCCGCACCATGGCGAAAGGTGTGTGGCCTTGACTCCAACGCAGCTCTATCTCCCGAGGGGCTCGTCAAGTCTCACAAATATGGTCTGGTGCTGTCTGCTGCTAGACTCTCGAAGGAAGTCTCTCTCTGTCTCTCTCTCTCTCTCAGCTGCGTGTGCATCTGTGTCCACCATACTTCATATGTTGCACCCCTCGCCGCTCAACTCAATGTCCAGAGCTTTCAGTGAGAGTCCTCAACGATTTGTACTCCTCAATGCATCATCTTTCTCTGCTACACTGGGCATATGTTTGCCTCATCCTCTTATATTGCAAAGTCAATTGCTGATGGAACAATTCCTGCCTCACCTTCTTGACTGCTTCTTTGTTTGCCACCCTGGTCCCCTCTCAGCTCCTGGAGGTGCTGGAGGAGGTTGCAACGCGTGAGGTGACCCGAATGATCCTCGATGGCTGGACCGGTAGCCTCTTCCTGGTCTGGGTTGCACTGTCCCTTTTACATTCCTCGCTTGTCCTTTTCCTTGCTATCCTCAGGCCCCCATTACTGAGGCTCCTATTCTTCCTTCTGTTCCTTGACCTGTACGCAATCTGGGATCGTGGCAGTCTGCAACTCTGCATTTTGGGGTTCTGATGAAACGCTCGATCGGCCACAGCTTGTTCCTCGTAGGGAGAGCAGGGTTGCGGTACCGTGTGCCCACCCGATCAGACGATGCAATGACTGGCAGACCTGACAATCTCCACCTTCACCAGACTTTGGAGGTCTCCCCTTCACCCTTGCTGGCTGGAGCTCGATGCTTCAGTGAGAGAACCACATTCGTGTTTACCCATGGGGGCATAGCAGAACTGGGCGCATATAGATACATGGCCCCCCTGCAAGTTACTGGGGCCCATCGACAAATTGCAGGTTCTCAGTGTAGAACATGATTGCGACATATATTGCAACCAGAAACCAGATGAACGAACTCCTGGCGTGAGCGTGATGCCGTGGCGCTCAAGCTACCCGCTCAGTAGTCCGCACGACCACGGTAGTTGCAGGACCAGGCGCCCAACAGCGGACCACGCTTCTGAGAGTTGCGCTCTCAGTGTGAGGCCTAGCCTTTGCTTGTTGAAGCTCATTTGAAGGCGTTTGAGAAGACAGTCTGCAAGGGCTTCAGAAAGGCCTTAGCCTCAGTGGTCTCGTTGGTCAAGGAACGTGACCTGCGCTGCGATGCACTTGATCTGCAGTGGCGTCGATGTCTGCGTGGGGCTGGCGGACTTGGGAAACCAGGACGGATTCAGCGATGCTCCTAGTAGGGGGCCGAACTGCCCAAGGCACCCGAGTCCTTTGCATTGCTTCCATTGATGGGACAGAGTCATGGAAGGACGCCTCCTCCTGCAATGTGAGGCTGCCCCAGCACTGATCCAACATCGCTGCTCATCTTGTGCTCATCGCAGATGAGTACCCTGTAGCCATGATCGACCAAGTCATCACCATAAACTAAACAGCCTGGCAGTTCCAGTCAAGGGCGGCTTCTTCATCATATTCTGGCCACTGGTCCTTGTTGACCATGGCTCACAGTAGATGAAGACCCACCAAGCCAAAAAGCACAGCATGATCATGCAGCATAGCCGCCCACGAGTCCCTGCACCTGCCACAAAAGTTGTCTCCCAAGACCTCACACGCACAAACTACTGCGCCTCCAACGAAAAGTGACTATGCCACACCTTGACATGTCTAGCAAAATTTGTACCGCACCAATCCGCACCAGATGTTTGGAATGATTTTCGACGCTTGGCTGCTTCACCCAAATCACTCAAAATCGTACGTGTACCTGAGAATTGTGGCCGCACATCATGCCAGACCCTCCCCCAAAAAAATCATAATTATCACCAAAAAGAAACCAAACAAAAAGAACCACAATAATCAAATTGGTTTGTGAAGAACCACATCGCCGATGTACAGCAGCCGACCCAGTCTCAGTAACAGCGTCCGGCTTGTCCTTCGGGCCGAAGGGTAGAGACTTGGGAAGAAGAAGAGAGTCGAATCAGAAAGGTACACCCGGGAATCGGGAAGAGACCCACATAGAACCGTGCTTGGCATGGACCTTTGGAAGATAGAACCGGGCTTGGCATGGACGATGTTCTGAACCAAGGCGGGCATAGTGTTCAGGTTCCATGTGGGTCTCTTCCAGGGCGTGCCGTCCAAGACTCTGGAGTCAACGGGTTGAGGTGATTCCAGCACCAACACTGATAGCCAAGGAGTGTGAAAGATATATATTGATTTGTTGTGCACCCAAGGAAAGGAGGAGATGCAATAATTCAGATTGATCAAGCCCCTAATATGGAGATTGAACAGCTCGGGTTTCTGATCTTTTTCTCGGAATTCTCCCAACATCGCCTGAGCAAGGCCTTACCCTTCCCGCACCTGGAGCAAGGCCTTGGCTTCGCCACGCCGGTCCTTGTGCCTAAGAGATACAAAGGCGCAGTCGTTTGAGGCGGTTCTGGGGTGGTCTGGGGGAGTTGTGCTTCGAGGTATATATGTATATAAAGCAACTATAAACATGCTAAGAACTTGCAACACTCCCAAGGTGACCACCTGGCTCCGGACCACGGAAGCTTCGGCCACAAGGTTTTCGAGGAAGCTTCGGCCACCAGGAGGGCTTCTAAGGCGGATCAAGCCCCTTGTGGACAGGTGAGGGGGGTTGAGGAATAGGGATAGAGGTGAGGAGGGACAATGATAGACACTGGATCAAGAGCGAGCAGCGATCGGAACAACGTGGGAATGCGGAATGCCTCGCACTCAAGCAGCTGGCACCTTCGAGAAGGACTAAGGAGAGACACACCACGAAGACGACATGGTGTGCTGCCCCCAAAATAACGTGGGACCCCTTCATAGAATGTGTTGTTTTGTTTCAGGGATGTGCACTGGTGCACTTGAAATTTCAGCCCGGGTCTCGATCCTTGTGGACAGGCCCAAAAGACGCCCTGTAGAGGAACATGTGGACATGTGTATTTTCTGAGGCGTTCCTTGGTTTTGTGTTATGTTTATGTTGCTTCCCCCACCCAGGCTCCAACGTCGCATCAACTGGTCTGTTTTTGTTGGCCGATCTGGGCACCCGTCGACGGCGACTGGTGTCCACCGGTGTAAAGAACGCCCCATGAGACTGGAAGAGGTCTACAGCACATGGCTCTTCCGGCTCTCCCCATCACCCATCCATAGTCCCAACGTGTTCCAACTCTCGAAGTCTCATGGATGACAAGCAGTTTTAAGACAGAACACCCCTCTACCTCAGTAGGACCATCCCTCTACCTCCACCATGCCGAAAATGGTTCGTCCGGATGTACACATCCACCACTTGACAGTCTTGCCATGTCTTGTGGATCCCAGGCATCTTGCCTATACCTGGACCCTCATTCAGGCTCAAGAGAATCTGGTTCAAGAGAATCAGCCTGAACCTGGGCCCAGCTCCACGGTCCTGCGACCGACCGGACGAACTGGTGGGGGTTTCGCCACGCGTTAGTAGCCGGACAGCCCGAAGAACGGCCGGTTCACCGAAAGAGAACTCCATCTGTTCATATTTGATGGGAAAACGGTCTTTTCCAACCAGAAAGGCTTCTTCTCGCTCGCAGCTTCACCATGCCACGTACTGAGGCCGGGTGGCCTGTACTTCCCCACAGACTAGGCCCCCAGACTCGGCGAAGAGGCCTTGAGCCTCTTTGGCTTTGTCCTGAGGAAACCCGTCGAGTCACCGCGGCGGTCGATGGAACGACCCGGCTTGTTCGGGCGGCCGTTCGCACGGGCAGACACCGAAACATGGGTATCAGCAACATCTAAATTAGCAAAATTTAACATTTGGAGGTGTTCACCAAGCCAAACCAGCCCTAATATAGTATATTTCTTGTGCTTGCCCGATTTTGGACGCTGAGCAATGGTGGAACCTTCTGTGGCAAACGTCTGTACCTTTCCTCCCTCCCTCTCTCCCTCCCTCCCTCCCTCCCCTCCCTCCCATTCCTTTCTTCTTTGGGAAAAAGGAACTTTCTTTTGATTCTAGCTCTTTGTTTGCCCCATCCAAACCATTTGAACCACGCAGTTAGTAAACTTCGATGCATTCAGAGTCTGTGGTGTGACTTCCTTCGTGCAACACATATATCCCTTGTCAAACAACCAAGGCCGCACATGTTGTCGATGTGAAAAACACAACATATGAGTGGGATCAATCATCCCAAATAAAACCCTCATAACTCATGTCATAACCCTTTTTTGGAGAGATGGCCCTTGGACAAGTAGCATGCAAAGTCTTTGCCTGTCTCTTTCGCTTCCAAGAAGCTCGGTCGAAGAGGAATGACTCAACAAGTGGTGAGATAGCTGCTGAGTTCGCGGACCGCCCAACCATGCATGGCAACTAAGAAGAGTGGATTCGTCGATTTTGGCATTGTATGGCGAAGGATGAACCAAACATATTGGTCTGTTCGGTGTCCTTCTGTTGGGGGCTGATGTCCTAGGATTCACCCAGATCCATGTCGGTGTCCAGTGCCGCCACACTCGCAGGGCGCCGGGACTTCAGGAAAGGCATCTTCCGGGCCGCTTCGACCCCCACGAAAAAGAAGTTGGAACAGTCCCAAAGAGACACATTCGCTCTTGGACTCTCTGTGCCTCTGTGCATGTATATGTAGTATGTATGGGAAAAGGGCCTGTATAGATGTCCAAAGGACATGTGTGGATCACAACAGGAAAGAACCAACATGATCAAAGGGGTTTAGAAGCTGCTTCTATTCAGAGATATTAAGGGTTAAATCATGTAGAATCCTGCTTCTTGACAGGGTTTGGCCGTCTTATGTCATACGATTGACAATTGATGAACTTCTGCAACACCTCCCAAAGAAATCTACAAAAACATCCAGTCTTCATCGTCTTCATCAACCAAAACGCCATGTTCTCAACCAAAACGCCACCAATTCGGCTCATCGATTCTCGGACTCCAAGGTGCCGCGGACTCCTCGAACTTCTTCTCGGCCTCGGATCGGAACGAACCAGCACCCGACGACTCGACATGTCTCCATCGCAGGTGGTGGCATGGCAGGTCTGGCGGCATGGCGCCCTGGGCGACCTGGGACCTTTCAGGAAGACGATGTTCCTTCAGTTGGTTCCCTGACGTTCCCGTCTCGGAACGCTGGTTCTTGGTCCCCAAGCCACTCACATGGTGATGGAAGTGGAGTGAAATTGGAGTGAGTGAACCCCCCCCTGTATGGTATGAGGATGTCCACATAACCATGTTGGTTCCAGGGATGGTAGCGGTTGCTTTCTTCCAAATTTTGAGTTGGTGAAGAGCTCCAAAGACTCCAAAGTTGAAGAACACAGTGTCTTTTTGTTTTGTTTGCAACACATGGGCATCCCAAACCATGAAAACTAGAGTTGTTTCCATCCCAAACTTTTGCTGCAGCGATTAAATGGCGCAGCCCTTGAATGGATGAACAAAACATGCTAAGGGACAGGGACTGTCTTATGATTTCCTCCAACTGTCACTCAGTGAACGCGGTGATTTTTTCCGGACCCAAAGAAACAAACCAATCTCCATGCGTTTGACGAACGAACCAAGCTCGATCGTCGATCTCACACCGTTGTTCTCGATCGTCCTTAGGACCGCCCCCGTCTGTCCAACTCTGAGGAGCCACACCAGTAGGACTTGGGCCATGGAGAGCAAACCATTGGCGTCGCCTTGCCAGCTGCCCTCCTTGCGACCTTGGGAACCCACCCGGCCGATTTCTGAGCGGGCATGAGAAGTAAAGCTGCACCATAGAATATTGATTCCGCACTGCAATGTGTGTATATAACTTGAGGACAGTGGGGACGAAAGCGAGGGGTGTGGAAGGGGTTAGAGCCGGATTCGGAAACTAATCGGTCGGATTCTGAAACTGGGGTTCTGAAACTAGTGTTCTGAAACTTGGATTCTGAAACCAGGATTCTGAAACTGGGATTCTGAAACTTGTATTCTGAAACTGGAAAGTCAGATTCTGCAACTGGTATTCTGAAACTGGAAAGTCAGATTCTGCAACTTGCCTTCTGAAACTTGCAACTGGTGATCTCCACATCATGCGATAGCGTGTGTGCCTGTGACATCACCTTCGAAGCACATCCAAACCAACGTCATTAGCCCCCCACCCAACCCCCCACCCCCCAACCCCCCCTTGTCCCCATCGTGTGATCTCGACATCACTCCAACCCCCTCATCATTCACAAAGTTGCGGAGTCCTAGTGAGGAGTCCACAATGTTGCGGAATCCTAGTTGCGGAACGCCAGTTGCGGAATCCCAGTTGCAGAATCCTAGTTGCGGAATCCTAGTTGCGGAATCTTGACAGTTGCGGAATCCTAGTTTCGGAATCCTAGTTGCGGAATCCTAGTTGCGGAATCCTAGTTGCGGAATCCTAGTTGCGGAATCCTAGTTTCGGAATCCTAGTTGCGGAATCCCAGTTGCGGAATCCGACCAAACAGTTGCGGAATCCGACCAAACAGTTGCGGAATCCTAGTTGCGGAATCCTGCGCAGTTGCGGAACTCGACTTTATCCGTGTGGAAGGATCAAGGGGATGCGGAGGGAGGGCAGCAACGCAAGGCTTTTGTGCCACGAGCGCAAAGTGTTGTTGGCTGAGTCAACCGAACACAAAAAAAAAACTCGACTTTCATTCTCACAAGGACGAGGGAGGAGTCGAATAGCCTCTGTCAATTCACTTTACAGGGGGGGAGGGCCCCCCCCTAGACGTTTCAATCTGCTAATTGAAATATCAATTCTTTTGCGAGGGGGGGGTGTAATTGAAAGAATCAATAAAAAGGGAGGGGGGGGCCCCCAAGGGCCCCCTCGGCTGACCCCTCCCTTTAATTGAAAGAATCAACTTGTTCACTGTACCTTTCAATTTTGAGCCTCACCATATTTCCGCTGAGCTCCTTCTGAGCGCGCTTTCGTGATATATATGAAGTTCACACATATATACTCACATAATGAAAAACGCTCACCGAAGAAACTACGAACATACCAAAACCGTTTGGCTACGCCGAACCGTTCATATATATGGTCCATATGGTCCAATGGTAGACTCGACCCGAACATGTACCAAAAAAACCGTTGCACCACGATCCCCTTGCAGAAAATCGGTCCCGAATCTTGCCGCATTGCGGACTTTCCGCATTTCAATGCCTCGCAAACATCGGACCATTCCGAATTCGAAACGACTGCCCACCCAAATCTGAGCACTTCGAAAACTACTCAGCTAGACCAGCGACCACGATCGACTATCGTCTGCGCGCAACTTCACATTGCGCTGTCCACGAGCTTGGCATAGTGAGTCTCAAAGTGCCATGGCTCAATTGAGTTGCGTGCGCAACCTGCGGTATTTGCCTTGATCAGTTCCTCGGAGAGAACAGTTCCATCACTTTTGGTGGTTGTTGAAAGCGGGATGAAGGGGCGCGACTTGGCAAAGGGGTCAGCAAATTAGAGTTTCATTTCCCTACACATCCAACGACGCAGTTTAACTTGAATGTAGGAAATGCGACGCAGTTTTACGGCATCACATTTTATTCGACGCTCAACAACTTCGAGGGGACAGTTTCGTTAAAAGTTTCGCTATATATGTCTTTAAATAAGTCCTGGCAGCACATTTTTGAACCAAAAAACAAGTTCAATAGCGCCTTTTTACCTGCGCCATGCATTGTAAACATCCACACGTGCCAATCTCTTTTTTGCAAAATGTTGCAGGGGCCAGAGTCACGCTACAGTCACGCTAGAGTCACGCAGAGTCACGTTCGAGTCCAAGTTCTTTATATAAAATTGCCTGTTGAAAGTTTTGTTGAATAAAACTTCGAGTAAGGGGGGGAGTCACGCTAGAGTCACGCTACAGTCACGGTAGAGTCACGCTACAGTTACGGTAGAGGCACACATGTAGCTATGCCAGCAAGCTCGCACAACTATATCGCGGGATTGTTGCACGAACAGGTCGGTTTGGAGTCATGACAGTGCTGCATTACCACCGAAACGCACACGTGCTGCCAGGAATTTGTTGCAATTTCATTGTACATATATATATATACAACACCAACAAGTTAAAGGCGATAAAAACTTAGGAAAAACGATAACAACTTTCAGGTAACAAAAGTTTTTGACAGTCACAGTCACATGTTCTTGAAACTTTCGAGGAAAATGCGACGCAGTAAAACGGAGACATTGATTTGTAGGGATTTGGTTTCTCGAGAAATGAAGTTAAAACGCGTTGAATGCTTTTCAGCACGGTTCTTGCTCACACTTGCATGCCGTGATCCCATAGAGGCACAGTGCACATGTACAAAGCCCGGAATGGGCTCAATGTCCCCAATGGCGCTCCAATCATCCAACATGCAATTTTGCCAAATTGTCAGATACCATATGGTTTTGCTTGCTTTGGATCCCACCTCATGTATTTTTTCCGGTAAATGCGCGCTACAAACTACTTGTTCCGGATACCTTTTGGAAACAATGGGTTCTTTTTATCCATACTATTATTGTTATTAACCAATCTTTGTCACACCCGCATCTAAAAATATATGCGTGCATATCTCCACTATCAGCTTGGCCAGGCCCAGCGCCGACTGGCGAGGAAGAGAAGATGAATAACTTGCGGCCAAAAACCAATATATGGGCATATCTACCGTGATCGCAAGGTCCGTTTGTTTTTGTTGTGGACATTGTGTCATGTCAGATTCCAAATGATTTGACCAGCTTGGAGGTAGGAACATGGAAAAGTGGTTTGATAAATCTCAAAATGTTTATTGCTTCAGGTCCACATGAAGGGCAGACACATCTTCTACCTGGGGAAAGTTTTCTTGTCTGAATGCCACAGAGCCTGGCAACAGCAAGTTTCTGTGGAAACCATGTTTGAAGCCAGCGTACGGACTGACTGGCCTGATTGATCTGGCCACCCACGCAGCGTTGGCAGGAGGACCGACACTTCGCACCCACACCTGTCCAACAACGCAGCCAAGACCATGGCGATGGCCACTGATCGGTGGACCCCATGGCTGCACGCAATCCTTGGCTGGACAGTCAAGCCAACCAAACAGCCAAGCAAAGGATGATGAAGCGACTAATACAGCCACCAATGAACTGTTGCCTGCTCCTTTGAAGTAGGTCCGAGCTGGCAAGCTTTGAAGTCCAGTACAGCAAGACCAGAGGAGGAAAGGACCAGAGGAGGACATGAGGAGGACGACAAACGACAAAAGGATCAGGGAAGGGAAACAACACAAGGACAAGCTGTGACAGGACAGGACAACAGCAGGACAATTGCAAGCGCCAGGAGGACAAGAGGAGGACACAGGGTTGGCCAGCGCGGCCAGAGGACAACAGCAGGACAACTGCAAGCACCAGGAGGACAAGAGGAGGACAAAGACCCGGACACAGAGCCCGGACACAGAGTTCAGTGGCGCTGCCAGCCAGTGTGGCCAGCTGTTTTTTCCCTAAGAGAGAACCCCAACAGTAAACTGCTTGGGGAAAAATGTTCCAGAGAAAATGTTCCAAACAATATTCCAAGAGCTAAGGATGTACCCTGGAATATTCATTTAGAAGGGTAATTACACCACCCCATTGCAGGCAACTATTCCATTCATGGATGTTCTAAGTATTGGAAACATATGAACTACCGATACCACTTCATTAATTGGTTTAATGTTTTGGATATTTGGTTTTGAAAAGTATTCTGATGCATTATGTTCACATGTTTGTCAATTGTCAACATTTTTGCAGGGAGTCGGATTCGCTTCCTTCAATCCTGTACGTGTGATAATACATCCGACATGGGAAATGGACTTACTCAGGGAGTACACATACACCTTGCGCTGCCAAGCATTTTCCCTGCGCGTTCCCCCAAATCATCGAGAAGGCCACCGTTCTCTGTAATCAGTGCTAAATCCTCCAAACGACACCAAAGGTTGTGGATTCTTTTGTTTTTCCCGGACTAGTCACGACTTGGTCAACCAGCCCCCCGTGCAGCCGCAGCAGCCGCCGGCGCCAGGTGTCCTAGGTGCCCCGAGCTGAAGTCCCTCTGTGCTCGAGCTGCTCGTTCTGCATCCGCAAAGTCCTGGAGAACGACGAATCAACGACGAACGGAGGAGAGGGAATCAAAGGGAATCAACAGTGATTCACCTGTGGAAATCAACAGTGTTTCCTGATCTCAATGCAAGGCCTGGTGCAAGGAAAAACTCGAATGAAACGAGGTTACGATTGCAGGACAGCCAATGTTGGATTGCAAAAGTCGTGTTAAACCATCCTGGTCTTCTCTACTAGCATTTTGCCTTTTAATTATAGTTCGATCGTTCCATTCCGAGCAGCCAAAGCAGTGGCCGTTCGAAACAAGTCCGCCGAAACTGCGGGAAGAAACAAGTCCGGTCGAAACACGGTGGAACCCGTGGACATCATGATTTTTCGCCCAAGATGGCGCAAGACCTAGCCTTCTTCGTTTGGCTTTAAATCTTTGGTGAGCTTGTCCACCTTTTTGCATCATTGTTGTCCAGCTTCGCGAGAGTCCGGATAGCCATTGCTCGCCAATTCGTGCGCCGCCTCCTCTGGCTCGGCTTCCTCTGGGCTGTCAGAGGTGCCGAGCGGGTCGAGCGACTGGTTGAGGCTCATCGTCCGTGTCCCCTGCTCTGGAGGCTGCGTGCTCCTGCTGGCCAGGCACCTCCACATCCGTAAACTCTCTGGCAAATGTTGCATGCTTCTGTTGGCTTGGCATATCCACATCCGGATTTTGGTTCCGGAACGCTTGTACTGCCCTCTTCTGTGAGTCGTAGGTGAGCTTTGTCACTGGACAAATCCAGCGTCTGTATCTTTTGCCCATGGTTTTGCCTGAGTTCACCGTTTTCTCGCGAATATCCCAGCCATTTGATCTCAAAAAGGTGTCCTTGTCGCTCACCCCCCATAGGAACGGCGTTGTTAATCCACCTGTCTATGCATGGGGAATGCATGTTGACCAACATGCTATGCAGTTGACATCCTGGGTCCGAGATCGGTTGGCCACTTCTTTTCCACCGGCAAAGCGAGGGTGCAAGACTTTCATTACTGATGATACTTGGCTAGTTCGGAAAGAAGGACTTGCGGTCAGGTCCAGGATACAAAGCTGGAAGAGATGGGTCTGTGAGCTCACAATCCGATTGGCATGGAAAGGTTGGGTGAGTGGTGAGTCATTCTGGCACTCTAATTACTGCAATATCAAAGGGAATTGTTGCTGTCATGAATGTTCTTGCCCTGCGAAAAGATGCTGCTGCTTTGTCGCGAAGGCTGGGCAAATGTCTCAAAAATGACCGCACAAGAGCGCTGGAACTAATTGGAGAAGAGGCTGGCCGACTCAATGCCAAAGAACTTATTGACGAGTTAAGGCGATGGGGAGTGCAGAGCCGGCGTAAGCCAACGTTTTTTGCCCTTGCCTTTTGTGAAAGGGATTGACGGGGAAGTTCTTGACACTGAACAAGTAGCGGAGAGATGGCGTAGCCACTTTGCCGAGCAAGAGGACGGACTGCCCGTGACTCCAGAACAACTGATCGACTTGAATGATGCGAGCCAGCGACAAGAGGCAGTTCTTCCAAGATGGGATCAACTCCCTACTCTGGCGGAAGTTGAACAAGCTCTACGAAATACTGCTGGGAGAAAAGCCTTCCTTTGTAGATGGGTTCCTGGTGATGTTTTGAGACAGCTTCCAAGCCTTTTTGCACCTTTTTGCACGGCTGCTGTATCCACTGTATCTCAAAGAGACGGCGTGGCAGCAAGAAGCATTGGTGCTTAAGGGTGGGAGACTGGTACCCATGTTCAAAAAGGGTAACCCTTCAGAATATATAATCGAATTTTCGAAAACTTTTTGTATCGAGCCCAGTTGGAAAAATCCATCATGGAATTTATCGGCAAGAGTTGGGAGGCTTGTTCGGCCAGAATCGTCTGCCGCTTCAGATCGGAGGCCTGAAAGGTCAGACAACTGTTCAAGCCAGTCATGCCTTGCATTTGTGCCAGCGAATCGCAATCCAAGAAAAGAACTCTTTCACCATCTTGTTTATCGACATCCAAAATGCTTTCTACAGATTGCTGAGGGGACACATCACTCAATCTGTGCAAGATAGCCGAGATGTACAAGCACTATTTCAGAGCATGAAGCTGCCAGAGGAGGTATATGATGAATTCTATGAGCACTTCAATGATTCATGGTCCTGTTCTTGAGGGAGATGGAATCTCGCCCTTCCATGCATCGCTCTTTCGTGAATTCTATGAATCAACGTGGTTTTCCGTTGAAGGATGCCGACAGCTCACCTGGACACGAAGAGGAAGCAAACCGGGAGATTCCCTGGCCGACATTTCATTCGGATTTGCTCTTTCAAAGATCCTGATGAGCATTGAGCGTTTGTTGGTACAAAGGTTCCCTTTTCTTTCTATCAAATGGAACGATTCTCGCACTCCTCATGCCTTGTTGGTGGATGAGAATAAGATGCTTGGCCTGCTTGGCCATGTCATGCCCATTTGGGCGGATGACATTTCTTTAGCTTCCACGCACCCTTCTCCACAGGTCATGATGGAGGTTGTGCCACAGATTTGTTCACTCGTCCTGCATCACCTTGCGACTGCCGGTTTAACACCCAACATGTCCTCTGGTAAGACCGAGTTGTTTCTGGAGTTGCGTGGTGCTGAGCAATTGCGGCAAAGCGACAATTGGTGCTGCAACAGAACTCTTTCCAGTTGACCTCGTGCTTGATCAAAGAGCCGCTTCTGGTGGTTGGGCACTATCGCCATTTAGGGACGATCTTGCAGAAGAGTGGGTCCATGGTGCGAGACCTCAGCAGCAAGTTCGCTATCGCGCATGATGTTCTGACCCGGGACCGCTCCCAGATCTTTTCCAATCGCAAGTTGTCGGTTATGGTCAAGTCTAGTATGGCAAGGTCGCTGGTTTACAGTAGCATGATTTTCAACTGTGCAGTTTGGTGCCCGCGAACCCACAAGGCAGATGGAGCAGGGATTCATCAAACTGGAGAAACAAAGTGTGCACATGCATTTTGGTAGAGCCTCCATTGAGTGGAGCAGTTTGCAAGCTCAAGTGTCTCTGAATCTGCCAAGTTGTAATATCATTTTGCGTGAAGCTCGGCTACGATACATCATGCAATTGATTCGATCAGGACAGCCACATGTCTGGAGCCTGCAAACGGAAGGATCATGGTTTGCAAGAGTTTCGGAAGACCTGGATTGGCTCTGTTCCTTTTGTCCTGACGAATTGGTGACTGGACAACCAAAAAACTGGCATCTGGTGTGGTGGGCTACTGAGCGACCAAAAGCTTGGAAAAGTGTCGTTAGGCGTGGTGTTGAAAGAGCCAAAGCTGATGCTACTCGGGTCCATGAATGGCGAGAATGGCATAAGGTCATTGTGCTCGACCTTGTCGAGGCAGGTTTCATTCGAAGGACAGCTCTGCAGACTGCCAGCGACGATTTCTACTGTGTTCTTTTCTACTGTGCAGTTCATTCATTCAAATGCCATAAACGCATTAACATAGCCAGGCACTATGTTGAAGGTTTGCAGTGCAAAGGATGATTGACACATATTGACACATTATGCCTCTCAGATCAATTTGACTGTCTTCAAAGCTATTCTGCGGAACCTTGTCTACTTGATCCAGCGCCAGGCTTCAATAGCCGAGCGGAGAAAAGGAGTGCACCGATTTTGACCCGTCTTTTCAGGCGGAAGGACCCCGCCCTTTCTGCAGGAGAAACGACCATTGATGCCGGTGGTTGAGGAACTGACCGCTCAAAGATGTGATGTCGACGGAGACAATCAACCCCCCCTAGGAGGTCAACAAGGTCAACAAGGTTTGGGATTGGAGGGATTGGAGACCACATCCCCTTAATAAAGATGATGACCTGATGATGGATGATGAGATGATGACAAGATTGGGAAAGATTGAGATTGGGATGATTGGGATGATTAGGAAAGAGAGATTGGAAGACAATATTCTTTCTTTGATTGGGATGATTAGGAAAAGAAAGAGGATTGCAGGATGAAAGAGATGGAAAACAAGATGGAGGCCACAGGGTGGGCTGATTAATAGGGGGAGGTAGGGCCTGTGTGAGGGTACCCTTTGTGAGCTTGAAAACCTTAAGATTTTGATAGAGCTTGAATAAGGAAAATTACAGAATTGTTTGCTAGCATTCTTTTTTCCGGGAAGGATGAGAAGAGCAAGCACAATGATCAGTTTCGCCATGGATCAAAAGATATTGAATACTAAACAATCATACATAATAAATAAATACATATAAAACCAATTACATTTTGTTCTGGGGGAGCTGGGCTTGAGAAATAGGGGGTTCTGGCAAGGAACAAACATTATCAGGGGAGGTTGCAGGGTTTTAATTAGTTTAGTAATGTTTATTATTGGAGGCTCCAGCTGGGCTTGATGGGTCCTTAATCCTATGCGCGCATTAGTTCGTGCTGCTTTGAGTGCTTCCTTTTTATATGATGAGATGAGGGCGCTGATTGCTTCTTTCATTCTTCAACTGAAAGAATCTGAAGATGGACATGTTCAGCATTTTTTGGCACTGCAAGATGCGCAATCCCTCTTGTCCTGGAGCTGGCTTACTGCTGATAAGGCGGTTCCTAGGCCTGCTGATGTGGACTATATGGACATAGTTGAACGTGAATCTTGTGTCCTGGATTGTTTTCCCCCAGTGCCAAGAAGAATGCCCAGATACAGCCCTGTGATCTTTGCACATATTTGTTCAGGGCGCCGGCGCCCTGGAGACTTTCAAGAGGCTGTCGAGAAGCTAGGAGCTCGCGCGATTAGCATCGACATCCTCTTCCACGTGACTTATGGCGACTTGTGCAGGCCACAGACTTACGAGCTGTTTCGAAGGGCCATGAAGATGTCATATGGAGGTTCCTAGGGGGACCCCATGTGAGACATGGAGCCGGGCTAGAGGACGTCAACTTGAGTCTGGTGAAACCGGCCCACGCAGGGTGAGGCAGGTCGAGCGCCCGACAGCGTCTTGACTCTGAAGGAAGACCGCCAAGTGCGGCTTGGAAGTCGCTTGTTGGGGGTCGCCATCAAGATGTTCTTTCTGGCGGCCCTGACCAGCAAAACAGCTGTGCTGGAACCCTTGTTGAAGATACGCAAGATTTAGGACAACAATCGATTTGGAAGCTGGCGATCCCGAAGCTTTTACTCCGTTTTTCGACATGTAACATCCGCGTGCAAGGGCACTAGCTCGAGCGTGTTGCGTCTCAGCCCACGGTGGATGCTGGATGCATGTGTCGGAGGTGCCAAAGGCCACCTCGATCGGAAAGACTGAGGGGAACTGGGCGGAGCACTCACCTCAAGGACCCTGAGCTTTGCGAACAGTTTTGGGGGGAGATCTTCAGCAGCCACGACCCACAGTTGACATGCCTGTCCCCGGCCTGGTTCAAGTCTGTGATGAAACCAGGGAGTATGATCTCGGGCATGGACTACTGTGGGGCTGACCCGAATGCCGGAATTGACTGCAATGACAGCCACAGACAGACGTCTTCGGCACATGTGAAAGAAAAGTGTTCCACGTCGCATGAAGTGGGAGGCTTCATGAAACACCATTTGAGTCATTCAGTCTAGCCGCTAGCCAGTTGCCACCCAAAACCAAGCCATCGAATTGCAATAGAAAATGTTTCTTCCACCAACAAACGCACAACTATAAACATACTACAATCACCATCACAAACCTCACACCCTTACGGCCTTGCGAGTTAACCCCCCCAAAACAAAAGAAACGCCCAATCCTAGACTTAGGGTCATGAATGGGGTAATTGACATGTGTGTAGCAGAATTGCCATGATAAACAAAATGTCTCTCGTGGCATCGCTACTACGAGCAAGAATTAGGCTAATTAGTAGCTCCTGGCATCGCTAATTATTTGTAGCCTAATGTGCTAGTAGCAACGTCAGGACGCACAGGAAGGACCCCATGAAAATGGACCATGAAGGACGACTGGTAGCATGGAAGAAGGATGACTGGTCGAATTCTTCTTAGTTTCCCAGCCGTCTGAATCGTCCTTCTTCCCCCCCAACCGCTCCGATCCACCCGATGGATCGATCCCCTCCGTGGAAGTCCACGACCAAACGCCGATCCATCTTTCGACAAAGTCTCGGTCCTTGTTGTGAAGGTGGGCAGAGGTCAAAGACTGAAATGCCGTGCCCTGCGCAGTTCGAAGCTCCAATTGCTGAGTTTGCTGTTACGTTTTTCCCTTTTCGCTCAGACCCAACTGGTGGGACTCGGTCAGCGCATGCAGCGAAGCACGGTCGGCCGCGGGGCGCTGCATCGGTGAAACATCTCCCGACCAAACGGTGGGACAAACACGACCAAACCGATGGATCGCCCCTGGGACCGAATCCGATCCATGTGGCATACCGATGGCAAACGAGTCGTTTTTTTTTTTTTCCGACCATGGTCCACATGGTGCTTTGGGATTAACACACATCACGTCGAGCTAGACAGAAACATGCGGAGTTCAGGGACGCAGCATGTCCATGTCACGAGTCGAATCCGAGCCCCGCTCGCCCAAACCATCGGCTTATGCTGCTTTGGAGGATACCATATTACAATCAGAACAACAGGAAAACATCGCAAAGGTCCACAATTTCACAGGTCGACCCCGTTTCAAATCGGATGCGCTTCAAGAACTATGTCGAACATTTCATGATCTCAGAGTAGTCCTGGTCTTTCAGGGAGGCGGCCGATGATGTACCAATCTTGCACAAACCAAGAGCTTACTTGAGTCAGAGCAAAAAGAGCCATGATCAAACAGCGGAGATTGTGCTGAACCCCTGCTTGAGCATATCATATCCTTCACATCAGCTGGAATGTACTTCCGCAAAGATACCGTCAACACGAACCATGTTTTTGAAAAATAACCCTAGCCGCTAGCCTTCCATTCGACCATTCCAAGAATGGTTAACCTGGTTGACAGGTCCCAAACCATCCATGTAGAGAATATGTATAGAATATATGTTAATGACTATAGGTTTATGTAAGTAACTATTTCAGTCCCTGGATGGTCTAGGCACAACTCCCGAGATCCAAACAACTCAGCTCTGGCACGTCCGCTCCGGGGTTCCAGCCTTGCTGGCGACGTCCTTCACCTGGTTGTAAGGGCTGAAAACACCACGGAGGTTCACACTGGTGCCGGCACCGCTGGGGCCGGTAAGTATGGGTTTTCTTGGATTTGCTTTCCAGGAACCCGGGAAGTTCCAAGCATTTACCAGAAGGGGCTTTACATGGATTTACATCACCCGTCTTCCACAGAACCAGGTTTTCCTTGTCCCGTGTGATGCGGGATTTGCTGCAAAAGTTTTGTCTCCTCGATCAGCGGAGGTACACATTGGCTGAAAATGCATTCCGGCCATGAATGGGTACGTTTCTATAGTCATATATACTGATACTGTATATCAACGATCAACCTTTTGGATTGTCTCGTGTTATCTTCAACAGCTGCCCACTAACTACGCTCGATATTGCTCAACAAAAATAGTTGCCCTGCGATGATGCGAGGGACCTCGGACATGCGGAGACCTCAAAATTCTTGTAAAAGAAAGATAAACTTAGAAGACCACCATCCATTTCAGGTGGTTTTTGGCTGGTAAACAATATATGAACTTCGCGGGGTCCAAAAAAACCACCCGTAGTGGGTGGTGCTGTACATGATGTGTTCTACCAGTGTTCCCTACTTCTGTAGTGAGGTGGATGGCTCCTTGTGCTCCCTTGGTTCGCCCGTTGGTTGGAGGTCTACGCAGGCAACTGCCTCAACTCCCAGGTGGGCCTCACGATGGCTCAAGGCGTCGTGCGCTGCAAAAATGGCTTCCTCCATCTCTGTGCGCCTGGCTTGAAGAGGGCAGACTCCCAAGAGAGGTCAGAAATAGGACACGTCCCCAACAAGCCCCAACACAATTTTGGAGGACGTACTAGACTACCTATCAGGCCTTTGGACCTTTGTCTGTCGTCTGTCATTGTTCGCCGACGGCTGGTCACCCGACCCCACAAACGACCCGGCACAGTGAGAACTAACCTGTGGGTCTTAAATGTTCCCCTACAAGCCCAGTCGGTTTGAGGGTTCCATGTTGATCTGCAGGGGAGCAACCATATACTCCCAAATGGGACTGGTTGAGAGTTGCACCACCAACCCATGCATGGGTCATTTATGAAAGGGGTACATGAAACTCTTTCAGTCCCATTGATGATCTGGGATACACTGGTAAGCTAGGCTTTCAATCCATTTTGAATACAGTATATGAACGCCATATGCACACCTTGAAAGGCTTGAAAGGATTATCTGGGTATATACGTGCGTATAGAATAATACGAATGAAATTCCGATGGATGATTGGCGGCCCCGGCCCAGGTCAACCAACCCTGCCAAGAGAATAGGGGTGCCAATACTGAGACTGACATGAATCTGAATCTGTGACTTCCAAACAACAAGTTCATCTTCAAGTGGTACCACAGTGTATGTCCACATGTTTCCCTCACGCTTTGTACGGTTTTCAGTGAGCAAAGCTGCTTGGTGTTCGTGGTCACCTGGCTGGACAATGCTGCATTCCTTTCTTGGTCAAACAGGACACCCCGGGAGGTCTACAAACACTCGTTACATGAACATCAAAAAGGAAAGGATGCCCCGATGCCCCTGTTGAGTTGTGGGCCATACGACCACAGGCAAGGAGAAAAAAACACCGACTGCTCAGGTCATCAACTGCTCAGCTCTGAACCCCCTGGGGCGTCCAGGCTGTACATGAATGGTGGAGAGATGCGCCATGACCTGATCCGCAAGCAGCGGGGAGCAGTGAGGCTTGAAATCTCTTGCAACATACGATAAAAATGCGAAAAAAAAATGTAGAACACAGATATACACGATAAACATGTGTTTTTGCTTTTCGATTTTTGGTCTTTGGAAAGGGTTCCCGGCTCGGTGCCCATGCTCCACACATACTCCTGGAGTCCCGGGATTTTCACTGCTCGGTCACTGGTTCTTCTTGTGGCTCCCGGCTGAGAGGGTTCGACATACCAGAAACCTCCTCTGGCTTTCCACAAGACCGGGGACGTTTCACCAACTTGAAACCCCAGAGACTCCATGCTGTATGGCATATATAGATGCATATTACACATTAATATTGATATTAACTGTACAGATTTATATAGTGGGGTGGTTTCACAGTCCATACATGGAGTGTTTGGGTTGCATGGGTTGCAATGCAGTAAAGCAAGATCCTGACACTTGCGAAACCAACTTAATTCACATGAACCTGCTTCTCCATTGTCTGACCGCTCTTTTGCTAGGAGCTGGACCTAACTTCAAGTGGTTGGCATTCCAAAGCAACATGCCACTCAGGATCCATCCAAGATCCAGTGACGATGATTGATTGGGTCATTGAGCTCGGAGATCCGCTCTGAGATCAAACATCAATGGCTCGTGGACAAACATCCTGTAGCTCCGAGGAAGGCTGACTGGAGCAGGTGCTCCTCCATTCCCGCAGAAGACGGGGTTCGGGCAGCGCCCCATCCGCCACCGCACCCTTCAGCAACAATGGGAAAGCATTAGATGCCAGCATCATCGATGCCAGATCTGCTGCGTGTGAAGGTGCTGTCGATGCACCGAGCTTCGGACGTCAGCCACCACGAAGGCCGCCGGCGGCCTAGCTCCTGTGATACGTTCGCTTGCTGTGCAAATCGCTTGTTGGATTCTTCCACGTGCAAATCGGAGTGAATTGGGCAGCGGTTGCGCCTTCCTCTTGGCCCTGCCGCACAGAGTAGGTATTCGTCGGCGAACCCAGGTCTGGGCGTTCGACGTCGCAATGCTGCACCGATGTGCCGAGTACTGTACAGCTGTTGTTGTGACACTGGTTGAGCGTGCGCAAACTGACTGTGCTCTGCCCAAAAAATCGCCAATCCCAGGCATCAAATCTGTCGGAAGTGCCGGCAATCAAGATGGATCCGGAAGCAAAAGGATTGAGACCCAAGTGCTTTGTCAAATACACAAGGGTTTCCATTAAAGGGCGGCCTTACAAGCCCCATCTCGCCCATTTTGGTGAAACCACAATGGATGCTACAAGACAGGCCAAACTACCTCGGGGTTCGGGTTTGAAACATACTCTTGCAGGACATTTTCAAAAACATGCATTTATTCAACTACACTCCCTGAAATAATGATGGACTTGGACAGATTGCGCCTTGCCTTGGATGACCATTTTCATCTACAAACAGCTGGTGTTTCAGCTCCTTATGTGAGGGAACGCCAAAAGCCTGTAGTCCAGGACGTGAAGGAAACCAGACTAACAGTCTTGGTTTGTCACGTGGTTTGTCAAGAAAAGATGTGACAAGCACAGAAACACTCCCTAGTCGTTGTCCGAAGGTGGAGATCCTATGTTCTCTCTTATTGGGAAAACAAACAAACATCCGCAATGGACAAAAATATCACTATCGGACCATTTCATATCCCAAATGATCCATGGATGCATGAGATAGTTGATTTCCTTAGGGGTCTTTTTCATGGAGGTAAATGTCTGCAATTCTTCCAGTCCCATGCAATGTTTGGGTGGATATAAAATTATATATATTTAAAACAAAAACAACATCTGGCCCGGTGGAAACGCACCAACGACAACCACTCCCACTCGGCTCATGCTACTCCAACTCATGTTGCGCTACTCCCGCGCACCTGTGCTTCCAAGGTGGAATCATTTAACCTGAAGTGGAGCAATGCTGCGATGGTACATCATTTGGCAAACAACTCTGCATCTGCTGGTCAGTGCCCAGTGGGTACCACATATACCGAACATCTACCGAACGAGGGATCCATTGGTTCCTGGGATCCACTGGGAAGCCGAAGCGGAAGCCACGTCTCAAACGTGCGTGCGTTCGGTCCGTCGTCAGGTAGCGTGGACTAACGAAGGTGGGGTTTGGTAAGAAACACTCCAACCAACACTCCATGCATCCTGGAGTATGGAATGTATCACTACATTGGTTAAACAATATCAAACATACATACCCAAGGCATCCAAAGTAGTGTATATGTGCATACTTGGGACCCAAGTCATCCTGAGGACACTTCTGGCTTCCAAGTAGTGACTATGTTCCTACTTGGTCAAGTTGGCATGTTCCATCAATTTCCAGTTCCCTTCCCCCACATGCTTGCACGTTCCAGACTGTCACTTTTCTCTCCCAACTGCTAGTTGGTAAGTCAACTTTGCAAATTATGCGCCACTTTTGGCAAAATCTCTGGACGATCATCGATCATCCTCATCCAAGTCATTTGCAACCCTGGCTAGAGAAGCACACCTGGGTGGAAACATGGGTGGACACATGCATTTAAGAGGAACAGAAACACGGGAAGTATACAGATAAGGCACCAAATCGAAACTCGGCGAAGAACACCACGTTCCAAAGCTCTGGCATGGCTCTTCCTGCACACACCTCACCAAAAGGTCAAGAAGTACCTCTATAAAATGGTAACCCATGGTTGAAGTTGTATAACTCAGGCCAGGCACGCACAAGGAGTCCATTCATGTCTTCATCTCGAAACGTGTGAAAGAAGCGGGCGTTGTACAAGAACTTCGTCTGGTGGTAGCTGATCTCTTGCCAGCCCTGAGTTCACTTCAAAAATGTAAGCAAAAGAAGGATAGAACTCAAGGGAAACAGATTATAACTGCAAAGTTGCATGGAACTTTGGCATGAGCTGGAAGCGCAGCACCGATGCACGGGCAGAGAGCATGGACAGGTTTCCATAGTAGCCCATGCATTGGTCCTTAATCGAAAGGCTGGTTGATTCGCATAAACTGTTTTGCAAAAATTGAAACTGCTAGACATCCCATCAAGCAGGTCAAGTTGCCATATGTGTTTGCATCGACAGAGCCTCTTGGGGAAAGAGGTATCTTTTGGCGTGCTCCATCTCTGTCATGAACTCGCCGCAGTGATACCTCCGAGGAGGAAATGTGGTACAAAAATAGTGGACGGCTGCCTATTTCTATCCAAGGGGCAAAGCACTAGCAATCGTCTTCAACTCATCGTCATCAGCCAAATTTGGATCTTGGGCTGCTTCTGAGGCACAGCTCACCATCCATGCCAACAGAACACGAGCCTTATTTTGAAACATGCACCCTCCAACAATTATGCGCAAACAAACTTGCAGTGAGGTGCAGCTTAGTTGCATTGTACCCCTTGGCATGCAACTCCGGGAAAGTCAAATGACCTCCAGGACCCAAGAAGCTAGCCTTGAACACAGGTTGGCTGTGCCTTAGATCTTTAAACGTGCACGTGCAATCAATGTTTCATCCAGAATCCTCGACCCTAATTCAGCAAGGTGCGAAACACGGTGCTCGCTCGCCCAAGAGGTGAACGCCACATATGCCTTCCGCAACCGTTGCTCCATGCTTTCTGTCTCTGTCCCCCATAGCAGCTCCTGCGCAGGTTGCACAAGGAAGTCTGGAACAGAAACATCTGTACATGTGGCACAGCTCCTTGTCCAGGAATCGGGCCATGGCCGAGGACACAAGCCATCCAATTACACCCAAATTGAGTGTGTGAAGTGTACACCACTTGATCATCTCATGGTGGAATCCACGGATGAAGTTCAAAGCACCTTGATTTCAAAAAACATCGTCCGACAAATCATTCAAGATTCTGCGACCATGCAACCATGCTTAGGACAGAACAGAAGTCTCCAGTCTTTGACAAGGACTTGAAGCTTTGTACCCCCCTCCGGGGTTTATTCTCCAATCGCGATGGCACTTCCAGGTAATCCATCTTCGAGCTAAAGCAATGGTGGCACAATGCATGGGAGTTCCATCCACAGGACAGGTGGAAGGTTTCCTGCAGATCATCAAATTATTCAAAGCATCACGCATGCCATAAAGTAAAGACATCCGTCCTTTACCCACTTCCAATCTCCACGCACTTCTGCCAATCTGCACTGCAAGCGCTCTCCACATTTCAGCACGGCCAGAGGCTTCGTAGTCACTTCCTGACTCATCCAAAGTCAACGATTTACGTGCACGAACTTAAAAACAATAAAATATGGTGTGCACGTGTAAAAAGTTGCAAATTTATTGAGCTTCCAAATCTTGTGTGGGATCATCTGAGTCTGACTGCTGCGCATGTAGGGGGCACTGAGGCTCAAATCCACGGCACAGAAGGTTGAAGGACATCGCAATCTTAGCAAGCACTAGTTTCACAGGATCAATTCGCACAAAAGGGAGTGCAAATCATGATCAGCCAAAACACAGGTCGCCAGAAAGCTTGCATCGTGGCATGGCCAGTTGAGAGAGCCTGCACAAATTCACCAAGAATCTGTTTTTGAGGCGAGCATATTTGCACTCTTCCATGACAAGCTCTCAGCACAGGCCTGTCTAAAGCAGAAGATGGTGTAGCTGTGTAACTTGCGATCGTCAGTACTGGCGAGTACATCATTCCAAGTCACGAAGTACATCTTGTCACCAGCTACATTGTACACAGCGTCATCGCCATACAAACCAACTGGTCGTGGACACTCTGCTTCATAGGGATGCTCTTCTGCCCATTCCGCATCATGATCCTTGAAGTGCTGCCAAAACTCAAAGCTCCGCATTTGCTCTGCTTTGGAATCTGGCCATTGCCCTTGCTGAACCAAGTACGCTGCCATCTCATGAGGGAATATAATGGGCATCATCCTGACACGGCTTCCACTAATCAAAACTCATTGCATACACCGGTACCTGCCTTGTAATCACTGTCGAATCGGTATAGCTCTTTTTCATCGGCACTGGTACTGAACGAATTGGTGGTGCCTGGAGGATATCATGATCATGCGCATGCGCCCATTCTGTAAACAACGATATCATGCAAACAAATAATTCCAAGATGCCAAGTTCTGGGACAATCGTCGCATAAAATCCCGCTCGACATTGCCAGGATGCTTTCCACTCGAACCACAACCAGCAATTATCTCGGAGCACTCAGAGAGGCGACCCCCTGAAGGCAACTCCTTAGGTGCACCAGTACCAGCGAGTCAAAAGCGCACCCGCAAGACAAATAGCAAGCAATCCACATAAGCGGCATTCGAAGGCACATTCTTGGCCGCTTGGACAACTACCTGCATTGATCCAAAGCTGATCTCCTAAGCTCCACACAACAAACACATCTAGAATCGTAGAATCACGCTTTCCAGTACCGGTACCTGCTGCCGAGGATCACCACGGCCAGCGCGTTTCATCAACGTGTTTGCCAACTCCTTTCCACCTGCGTCAAGAGATCACGATCAATATGACTCCATGCAATGCACAATTAGATGTTGAATGCATACACGATATACAGCTGCTGCACTGTTCCAATTTTGTGCCGACGGTGCGCAAACGAGCTTCCTGATGGATGATCAATCCCACGAACAAAATTTGATGGCTCATCAATCCGACATGGATTGCAGTGCCACGATCTGATCTAAACAAAATTCAGGGCAGGGCAGAGCGATCATTTCTCTTGCTTGGCCTTGACCTTATTAGGCTTCCGCTCAGCCTTGGTGCACAAAAAACAAAGATAATCATTCACCAGCGTGATCACAGCAGCCTAGGTACAACAGACGATTTGATGCCCTTAGCGGAATTGAGGTAGAGCTGTAGCGCTGCCGATGCTTTATCCATGAAGGGCTGCAATGCTGCCTGGTCCTTCACCTCCTTCAGGACCTCTGCCTCCAGATCGTCCTTTGCTCGTGTCAGCTGATCGAGTGCCCTGTCCAGCTCCTGCTCATAGCCATGGCGGATTGGATCGGTCCTCAAAACATGTGCATGCAAATCACCTATGCAAAGCAACAACATCTCATGATAAGGCCCTAATCACAGTGTACCAAGGCACAGCAACGGCGATGTCGAGACTTTGTGCTGTAGCCCCTTGATCTCTGTGATCTTGGTTTGGCATTCCCTGACCTTGCCCTTTGCCACGATGTCTGGTGTTTGTGGCTTTTTTGGCTTGGCGACTTTTGCCTTTGGGATAGGGACCTCCCGCGGCAGATTCCCAGCTGTGCTATCCATGTCGGCATGGGCCATATGCACAGAGAACTCATCGCACTCGGTTTGCCCCACAGCGGATGTCGACAAGTGTTCAGACCTAATTGGCAGTCAAAATCAAATCTGTCGATTTTTAAAAAATAAAGCATAACTGTCGTACACTGAGCTTGTGGCAACAGATCTCGAGTTTGATCTCCGTCCAGATCAATTTGAGCAGACATCGTCTCAGATTGCTCCTGTAGATCCGTGCGAGTGATCGTGTGTGCCTGGAAGACCCGGAAGAGCTCCATCTCCTCTAAGTCCGCATCTGGATTTTTCTTCCAGTAAGGAATTGGGACTTTCTTTGGGTCACGCTTTCGCTCCAACTCCTTCTTCTTGGTCCGCATTGCCATAGCAGCAACCTCACCGTGTTTGGCCACGTAGTCAGTGTATGTGACAAACGCCTCCTGGCCCTGAACTTGATGGGACCTCACATTTCTGCTCTCCAAGACAAGTGAGCTCACCAACCAGTTGCCCTCGCATGCAAGATACTCATCGAAGAGACCGCTGAGGATCGGCTTGTCTTAGATCATGCAAACTGATCATGATCCATTCCACGAACACACAGTCACACAAGAAACAAACATCACAGCGTGTATATGACCTGCAGACAGGATTCTCCTTTTGGACCCCTTTGCAGCTGCCACCACCTCCGGGGGACAGGTGCTGCCTCA